GCAGGAATGGGTACTCACAAGCACTTAATGAAGTGGTGTAGTGGTGACCAAGGGTGGAGAGGGATAGCGAGTTTTTTGGTTGCAGAAATCCAACCTGAAAGCAGTTGGTTGGCTGAAAGCAGTTTTTTAGGCAATTGTTAAGGTCAGAGTTGCTGGTGTAACTTTTTGTCCCTGTGCATGTTTTCTGGGAGGAAAAAATGAAAAAACAACAGATTAAAATTTGGTTGCGTTATTTCACAGGGATGCTCTTAAGAGTGAAGACACCTCATCGGCACAGGCTCCTATCCTCTGCTTTAAAGTCCGTCTTCGTATCCTGCCAGCATTGTTGTAGTGTCCCAAAGTACCTTTCATCAGAGCAGATATAAATACCTTGTAAATGGCATTTTTTGAGCAGTTGTGGTGATGCTGTGTTTTTTGATGTTGCAGGTAATCTTATCTGGAATCTTAGATTTAATGACATGGAAGAGGCCAATGATGCTTTTGGTGAGTATGGATTAAAACTTGTTGTAAGGAAAATACCAGAAGACGGTCCTTATTTAATAGGCATTGGTTTAAAAAAAAAAGAAAATCACACCTTTCTCCTTGAGCAAATAGACTGTATTCTGTTTTTTTTTTTTTTTTTTTGAATCGTAGCATCATAATTATTGAAAGAAGAGTCAAAACCTGTGAAAGGCTGTATTCTCGCTGGCACGGATGGAGTCCCCATTAAGGACAAGGTGGAGCACGTCTGGAGGAAGTGTTAATGTTGTTTAAAAACCAATTTTTGTGTTTATGTAGGTGTAAGAAAGTGCTAGTTTAGTATAAATAGTTTAGCTCTGAGGAAGTGCTGCTTAAGCTTACGTAGCAGAGTTGGTTTGAAAGCTGAGTTGTGCTGTGCTAGTGTCTGGTAGCAGGTCTGAGAGCTAACCTAAGTATTGCTGTCTTACAGTAACTATCCAGTGTTAGTGTTTCAAATACAGTTGACATTACATTGCTCGGAGAGAATAAAATTGGTGTGCGGGCTGTGTAAGGTGTTGTTTGTAAATGAAATCTGAAGCTACGTGGCTCTCAAATGTCTGAGAGGTGGGATTTGAAAAAGGTTTTGAAATTGGCTTTTTTGTCTGTTTGGGGTTTTTTTTTGCCATAATGTCACTTCTGAAGACCTTTTCCAGGCCAAAGCAATTGTTTTATTTTTATGCAGTGCTTCTTCAGGATGGTCATCAGTGAGAAGTACTGAGGATCAGATGTGGGAGCTGTGTATGAACTGCTGCTTCTCAGTGGTGCCCTGGTTAGCACAGGCGAAGCAAAACATGTTTTTTACTGGTTCTGTGGATAGAAAGGGGAGCTTGATGTCTGGGGCTCCCAAGCTGCAAGGACCATATTTTCATGAAAATAAATGTAGATGCTGTCTGTCTCAAAATGCCTGAGACTTGCACAGTGCTCCCTGTTTCTATATTGCATGTGTTCTGTGCTGTTTCTACAGCATGTTGCTGCTGTAGTTTACTATTGCCTGTTGCTCTTTCGCTCTTTTGTATTCTTCCTTGTATAAACATTATGGACCCTTCCTAGTTTTAATTGAATATGAAAGCACCAGACTCTTCCTTACCCTTTAATTTATCTCAAATGATCTTTAGGACGGCCGAGTGCTGGAGCAGATTGCTCAGGGATGTGCAGCAAATGGGGAAGTTTCTGAAATGATACTGAGCAAAGCCCTGAGCAGCCTGCTGTGTTCTCATAGCTGATCCTGCTTTGAGCTGGAGGATACGCTACAGTCTTCCTGAGCTCCCTTGCAACCACAGTTATTCTGTGAACCTTTATTTTTTTTTTCTTATTTGTGTGTATGTTTTATAGAGGTCTGATTTTTGAAAGTTAGATTAGGTCAGACTTGACACTGGGAAAGCTTCTTTACCGAGAGAGTGGTCAAACACCGGGACAGGCCTTCTGGAGAGGTGGTTGATGCCCCAAGCCTGTCGGTGTTCAAGAGGCATTTGGGCAATGCCCTTAATAACATCCTTTAACTTTTGGTCAGCTATGAAGTCGTCAGGCAGTTGGACTAGATGATTGTTGTAGGTCCCTTCCAATGGAAATATTCTATTCTATGTGCTAAAAAGGAAATTAGCATTAAATATTTAACGAGGCTAAGGAAGTCATGCATTGAACTAGCTATGGTCTATCACTATGGTCTATCAAGGGCAGATTGTTGGTTTCGGTGAGCATATTTATTTTGGGCTAAATTTCTAATATATCTACACTCTAGTAACTTGAACATTTTCTCTTGGGAGTTATGATGAGTTGTACAAGTTGTAAAAGTGAGTTTCCTCAGTACCGAAGGAATGAGACTCCTTACACAGCCATGGCTTAAGAGTTATGACATTCATAACTAAAATTGTAAAACCCATTTAGGGCTAAAACGTATCCCTTTTCCAGCTGTGACTGCCCTCCCCTTTTTCCTCCTTATGCAAGGCCCTCTGCATTTATTCCTTGTAAATACACTGCTAATGGATTCCTCTTTCGAGACTTTTGGACTGAATCCCTTTTCCCCTGTGCCAGCACAGAGCCACCTCCCCACTGTGGAGGAAGCAGAGGTTGCGTAGCTGTTTCCCTGACAGGCTTTGACTTAAGCAGGTGCCCAGTGTAGAAGTGCCTTTATGCAGGAAGTGAGCTTTGTGGAAAGGATTAGTTGCACGTGAGGGTGGTTTGATGAGATTTTTACAGAACACAGATATTTCGCGTGTTGGGTACCTGAGCTAGAGCCATGCCAGAAATCTGAGGAGTGATATCAGTTACGATGTTTTATGTTGCAGCAACTTAGGTCAGCATTTAGTTGTCTTTCTGCAGAGACTTGGACTGTGCTCAACAGTTAAAGTTTATAGGATCAAGCGGTCTTTATTCTTTTTCATAAATAGTTACGTCTGAATCTACAAATGCTATTTGGTTCACAGGGAGGGGCCTTTTCTCATCTTTCTTTTTATGCAGGGCTGTAAGTCACTCAGTTCGGTTTTATAGCTTCTTCAAATTGTGCAAATACCCCCTGGAATTCTTCATATACATCAAACCCCCCCAAAATAGCTTTGTTTTCAGCAGAAGTGGGATAATTCTATCTAGACTTTATCACGGTGTGTACTAAAAGATCTCAGATGTAGCAATTAGGCTGTAATTAAGGGTAGATGGTTGAGTTCCATCGTTCAGCCCTCTCTTCTTCCCAGAGCTGGGTCTTGAATAGAATTACGGTTCTAATGCTGCATTTGAAGTATGTGACTATTTTATTAAATGAATTGGTTTGTCTTTTACATCTGTATGGGGTTTTTTGTTGACAGTTGTGTTGCAGGTCTCCATGTGGTACAATAGATAGCTCTCACAACTGATAGAAAATTAGTAAGGTCCCATAATTAATGCTTAATTATTGCTGTTGCTGCTGTGTATATGGAAAATTAATACATTGATTTGACTTTTCCTAGAAGGATGTTTATAATGTATGTATATGGGATGTAAACAGATACAAGAGTTGATGATTGCAGAGGAAATTATTTTCTTTCATTTATTTTTTAAGTGTCTGCTTGGGCATCTGTCCTGTATGTGCATGTTAAAGAGAAAGCAATTCCTCTCAGACATTAAATATTAGCTTCAATGGCAGCAGCAGCAGCAGGAGAACAAGCAGTCTACCCATGCAGAATGAATGATGGGGTGAGACCCTTACCATGTAAGTTTATGCTGCTGCAGAATTCTCAAACTGCATGATGATTTTTTACCTGGAAGAGATCATCGATGCAAGACATTAGCAACACTGTGTCTGACATTAGAATACACTTTGCTTTCCTACAGTTTAATTAGTATAAATGTTCTTCAAGACTTTCTGCAGCTGTTCACAATCCCTGTGTATCTAATGCTCAGAAAGCGAGGGCTGTGAGCCACGCTAAAGCCATTTTTATCACTGCAGTTAAGACTAGTTACCTCTGTTTTGGCTTTTAAAATAGCATGTTTGCCTTTGCCTATTTGTTCGAAGTTGAGAAGTACTTTTCTCCTTGTTTACCTGCAGGTGGGTTATGTGGGTTGTGAGAAGATGTTTAAATTTGCATCTGCAGGAGAATATATCTGATAGAATAAACTGACAGAGTACATATTAGATAAGTGGACAGTGAGGTGGGTTGGAAACTGGCCAAATGATTGGTGCCAGAGGGTTGTGATCAGTGGCACAAAGCCCCACCAGACGCCGGTCAGCAGTGTTGTGCCCTAGGGATGGATACCAGGGCCAATACTACTTAATATCTTAATGAATGGTCTGTACAACGGGACAGAGCGTGCACTTGGCAAGTTCACAGGCAATACAAAACTGGGAGGAATGGGTGATACATCAAACAGTGCCTTTAAGAGGGACCTCGGCAGGCTGGAGAAATGGGCTGAGAGGAATCTCATTAAGTTCAGCAAGGGGAAATGCAAAGTCCTGTCTGTGCAGGGAGGTGCGCCGGTACGCACTGCGGACCAACTTGGTGGAAGGCAGCTCTGCAGAGAAGAACCTGGGGAGCCTGGTGGACAACAAGCTGACCATGAGACGGCAAAATGTTTTTGTGGCAGAGAAGGCTAACGGTATCCTGGGCTGCATTAGGCAGAGACTTGTGAGCGGGTTGAGGGAGGTGATTCTTCCCCTCTCCTTGCACTGATGAGGCTGCACCTGGAGTCCTGTCTCCAGTTCTGGGCTCCCCAGTACAAGAGAGACGTGGACATACCGGAGCAAGTCCAGTGAAGGGCCATGAAGACAGTGAAGGAACCGCAGCATCTCTCCTCTGAGGAGAGGCTGGGAGAGCTGGGAGTGTTCCTCCTGGAGAAGAGAAGGCTCACAGGGGATCTTCTGCATCTCTGTAAGTACCTGATGGGAGGGAATGAAGATGAGGGAGCAAGACCTTTCTCAGTAGTGCCTACTGACAGGCCAAGAGGCTGTGGGCACAACTGAAAAAATAGGAAATTCCGTCTGAACACAAAAGACAACTTTTGTTACTGTGAGGATGGTCAAAAACTGGTATAGGTTACCCAGAGGGGTTGTGAAGCATCCATCTGTAGAGATACTCAAATCCAGCTGGACATGATCTTCAGCACCAGGTTGTAGATGACCCTGCTTGAGTAGAGGATTGGACAGGATGCCCTCAAAAGGTCCCTTCCAACCTCAGTGATTCTGTGAAAATGCTGACCAGTGATGGAACAGAAAGAAAAAGTATTTTTCTCTTGACATTAAAATACAATATATTCTTTTGTCCACTATCGGAAAAGTAGTAGTGGAAATTATGGTTATGGTTCAGATCATGGTAGTTTTTAAGACTGTATGTAGAAGAATTATTTTTATCTTCTGCATCTTCAATGGGATTATCTGAATATTAGGTTATGCAGTCAAAAATGGACTATACATATAATAAACAGATCAAGATTTTATTTTTGTATGGTAGAACTTACTAGAACATAAATGCAGAAATGATCATCCTTGTTTTGCATATTTATAACAATATTTTCTTCCTTTTTCTTCTTTCGTTTTAACATGTTTCATTAGAAAAATCTGTGTGATTTTTAATCAGGATTTTGTAGACTGTTACATTAGGAGTCTGGATTTTATATATAATTTGTTGTATAGATGTATACTGGATTGTTTCTGTTTCAGCTTCTGTACCAAAGGATAAAACTAATATGTGAATTTGCCATTTTTTTTCTTTTTTTAAAATCTTTCTTCACTTGCAACTTTGGCCAAGTAACTTCTTTGCTCAGGATCTCCATTTCTTCATCAGTTGAAAGGGTACGGATGTACTTCTTGTTTTCCTTAATACCGTTTCTTCAAATTTGTACTGTAAGGATGTTTTATGTTGAAACAGCTTCTACTTCACTTACAAAACTGGCTAATTTCTAGTTGACAGTGCCCTGTGTTGAACAGATGAAAAGCTTTCTTTGTGTGAAATACCTGTGTCTACCAATTTTCTTTTTCTCAAAGTCATTTTTATCAAAAGGGTAACTTAGATAATCTAGATAAAAGCATAAGAAATGGTATTGATACATGCAAGTGCTGAGCAAGGAGTTAATTTCAAAAAATGTTTAAGTTCTGTTTGTACAGACAAATAGCACTCAAAGTGCTTGCTAACATTAAAAAACTCTTATCTGTGGTTTTATGGTATTTATAAAGCTAAAAGAAAATACTGTTCCTCTTAATATTGATTGTTCTTAGTTTGTCTTACACAAAATATTCCAAATCCTCTTCAGACAAGTACTAATAGCTACTTTAGTTATTGGGGTTTTTGAGGTTAAAACCTACATTATGTGGTAATGTTACGGTCAAGCTTTTGTAAAGCCTACTAGTAATGAGATGTTGTAATTTAGAGAATTACCTTGCACAGTAATGCTCTTTGGCTCCTGTCCATTCATGAGTGATTATTTTTCCCTGAATCTCAGTAAATGGGATCGTAATTTGTGCAACAGCTCTGATTTATTTTTGGTACAGCTTCCTAGGTAGCTAACCATGGTACGTCAGCTAAGCTAATTTGGAAAGCGGTTGCTGTTTGTGTGCCATGTTTAGGAAGCCCTTGTTGCTGCACCTGCTTAAAAGCTGTCTGGAGCAGAACTGAGCCCATGTCCCTTAAGATTGCCTTCTCTTTCTCAGGTTTTTGTCCGCTGCTGCATTTTTAATTTAGGCCATTTTGATACAAAGGAATCTGAGTGAGCAGATTGTTATTAACAATGATTCTTTTGTACATTAAAGATCTGATACTTGCTTTGTAGCATTGAGTACATAAAATTTAAACATGTCAGGAGAGGATTCTGTTACTTTTATTTGTCTCTAAAGTAGTAGTCTTACCCATAGTACGCTCTCCTGAAGTACAGAAAAATTTTGCACCTATGAATTGGGACAGGAAAATTTTCTACATGTGTTTAGAATCCATATCTCCTCTCATGTAAGCACAGATTGGAGATTGTAAGGGCATACGTGAAAGTAGGCCTTCATTTTATACACTGCTTCTGCCTGTCCTTTTTTAAGTACTCTGTTACTCCTGCCGTTGCTGGTCTTTCCAGAGGGTTTATTAAACTGAAGGTATTGTCTGATTTATGAATGGAGGTTTTAGTGGCTGGGAGGAAATAAAAACATATAACCAAAGTCCCTTAAGTGTCTCTGTCCTCACTGTAAAGGGACAAATATTTTTCATTTGTTTGTGCTGCAAAGTAAGTTTGGCAATTCTGTGCAGAATGAATGTTGTCTTAAGGTGTTTCCTCTTCAGGTTTTGTACTGATCTAAATGTGCTGAGAAGTAAACTCAGTGGAAGGATATGACATACAGTGGAAGTCGGACTGCTTGCGGATGATACTTTGCACTCCAGAAAGACCTTCAGCTGCCCGTACTTTTCAATAGTTGCATATATTTTGTTAGCGCAAAATAGGGAGACACAGGTGTTTGGAGTAACCATTTAGTGGGTTAAGATAAGACATCCTGAGGCACTGAATTAACAGGGAATTTTTGAGAAGAGGAGTGTCATTCCCAGCTGCAGTTTGGGAGTGGGATTTGCACTGCCATAGGTTCCTTGAGGTGGCTTTGTGATGCTGTTCCCACTGCTGTTAACTTTATTTTACTATTCCAGGCTAACCGATTTGCTCTGCTGTCTATCATCTGTGTTCTGGTGAACCTGGCCGGATTTATATTAGGATGTCAAGGTTTTCATTTTGTGTCCAGTGTACCCAGATGCGATTTGGTGAGCAGACGTACTGATTTACATGTATTTCTTCACGGCGTGCCACGTAAGCTTGCCGTGCTGGGATCTCAAAATGTGCTAATGTAGAGATGCAAGTAATGCAGCCTCAGCATGGTAGAGGAAAAAAGAAAACTCTGTGTCAGGCCTTGATTCAGTTCAAATTGTGAACAGATTCACTGAAATCCACAACAGTATTTTTATTTTCTGTGTTCCTAAACACCTGTTTTTTTGAGTAACAGTCTTCATAAGCTGTTCAGCTCCTAAGGCTGAAGACCCCAAAAGGATATGTTTTGAGAGATTTTACTCTTTGTTTGAATAGCATACTTATCCCGGAAATAGTTTTGTTTGACTTGATTGAGAGCTGGCCTCTGTCTTCAGACCCTGAAGACACAGCTAATTTGGTGTAAGACTCTCTAGATAATTTTGTGGGGCCACATAGGAGGGAATCCCAAATATATCTGTAGAAAATCCTTCTTGACAGCATTATGCACTGATTGTAATATCACTTAAGAATGAGAATAAACAATTTTTATAGTAATGTGACCAACTGTTGAAAAAAGCCTGAGTGGATACTGGTGAGCTACCTACAAAAAACTCAGTCAGTATAATCGGTCGGTGGGATTATTCTTCCTGGTTTGCTTCACTCGGTGAGGACAATTTGTGTTGATACCTTACATCAGAACTGTCAGGAAAAAATCAAGGTTGATCGAATCATACTAGCTTTTCAGAACCCTTCTCCTTGAGGAAGAAGCAATCTGCACAAGAAAGGACAGAATGCAAAAGATTTTTCTGACATGGGTGTCATAAGAAGTAGAAGAATGTCTATTTATGAACAACAAACTGTGTGATAATTGAAATTGAAGCATACAGGGTCACTTGGTGATAAAGATGATAGAATCATAGAGTCATAGAATCATTAAGGTTGGAAAAGACCTCTAAGATCATCAAGTCCAACCATCAACCCAACACCACCATGCCTGTTAAACCATGTGCCAAAGTTTGTGTAAGTGATCATATGTGTAAAGGCTTGAAGGACTTTAAGGCTTAATGGAAAGACCTTTGAATATTTATTTGCATTCAGTTATTGCTTCAAGAAAGCTATTGTTGGTTCCTTAACATGCCAGTAGGCATATTGCAGTGAGAGTCCAAGACTGCAAGTGGTTGGCAATCTAAATTCACCCAATATCAATGTACCGAAGCAACACTGAGAACTATTAATGTTATTCCAAACAAGATGGTTAAACGTTTCAGGAATTTTGGAGCCCTCTGTGGTTGGAAGCATAGGGTACAGCTAAAAGGTGTGCCTGAAATTGTAAATTATTCTCTAGAGTGGTTTATGTAGGTAGAAGACCTTTGGCCCTATGATGCTAGAGAGTTTGACAGCTAAAAACCCAATTGTCTCTAGATACAGAAACATGGAATTTTTACTTGAAAACTAGGATGACAACATTAATATGAAAGTAACAAGAACTAGTGGTGTACAGATTTAGCTACTACTGATTTGACTGGGTTGAAATTATAGTTGTGGGTTTTATTCCATCTGTAGAGATGCAAAGTATACTTATGAATAAAAGAAGATGTGTACAGTCCAGATGAAGTGGTCAAAGCAAGGATTTCCAGGCTGCTATGCGTTTGAAGAGGCATGGTTACTAAAATTGCTTAGTAATCAGTGCAGCTTTCATTACAATTAAGTTGTATTTAGATGTCTTGGGCTTATCAGTAATGCTTCCTTTCAAATAAGAAGTATGTGTAATACAGCTTTACACTGCATGAATCATTGGCATAACCAAACTGTACAAATTTCATTTTAAGACCCTGTATTTCCAGTCTGCTTTGGTGTCAGAGGTGTGGTTTAACACATAGGCTCTGTATTATGCAGGTAAATATGTTGCATAAAACAGATAATAAATTAAAAAGTGGAGTTTTGTGTTTTCAAAGGTGGATATGGGTGAAAACAAGATATGTTTCTGCTGTGAAGAATTTCACCTGGCTAAATGCACAGAGGAAGAGGCTGCGCTGAAGCTATACCACGCGAAGTCATGCGGTGCTACTCACCTTCTTCTCAAGGTACCCTGCGTGCACTGCTTCCCACACTTGTGCGACAGTGCAGTGCTGAGGTGACTGCTGTGTTTGCTGTGAAAAATTACGTTATTTTCTCGTGTTCCGCACTGGTCGGAAGCTCTTCATCGTTCTGCAACAGGGAGTTTTTTTTTCTTGTCTCTGGGTTTTGACCAGTGCATTGCTGATCCAATATGCAGTTCTTGTACTTTCTGTGCAACCAAAACTACAGACAAGGGTACGTGGGTAAATATGGCATAAATTTCAGCTAGTGTTTTGATTGCTTCACTGGTCTTTTCATCTTATCAGCCTTTCTTGGCTTACATACTGCTAAAATACAACTTCCAAATACAAAAGTGCTCTAGCATTTCTTTAATGGTGCTTATCTCACATCTGCATTTCCCGCAGAAAATTTAAGAGGAAGGTTATAATTCTTGGATGAATAGATGGACTATAAATCACATCTGAGCGGTATTAAACGCTTGTGAATCTCTCTGTCAGGACACACAATTGGGCAAAACAAGCTTTTGTGAATTACTCCAGTCTTGGAGATTACCTGTCCTAAAGACTTCATCATGTGTGTTTCTAAGTAATGGTGATGGTCACCCTTGTGTTTTCTGTGTTTGTTTTCGTTTTAGTTTTTAATTATTATTATTTTGACATTTACAAATACCTTGATTTAATCTTTTAATTTCCATAATCTCCATGTTCTTCAGAATGTTCTCTTTGCTCTTTGTGTCCTGAATGCTCTCACCACCACAGTTTGCTTGGTAGTGGCTGCCCTGCGTTACTTACAGATTTTTGCAACAAGAAGATCCTGCATAGTAAGTGAGTGCAAGGCGTTGCCCGCTATAAACAGCAGTACTAACAGTATTACTAGATTACACAGTTTGGCACTTTTTGATTTCTCAGAAGGTTTTTAACAGAAGTTTCATCTGATTAGGATGCATCTCAGATTGAAGACCAAGATCATGTTTTGGATCCTGATGATTTTGTCCCACCTGTGCCGCCTCCCTCCTATTTTGCAACTTTTTATTCTTATACTCCACTAACGAGTCGCAGGTAAACCTCTACACTCTCTTCCTTTCTTTTAGTATCTTTGGAAACACTGCAAATCTTCATTTTTGTTAAGACCGTTTTCTCTGTTATAACTGATAAAGGTTAGTGACTCTAGGGAAAAAAAAAAAAAAGAAGAAAAAACCTGTTGAGTTAGGAGGCAGCGTAAGTACAGTGTGGGTAAGGGGTATGATTTTGTTGTTTTCACTTTAGAATCCCTGGGAACTGTTTCTGGGTAAGAGAGAGGGCACAGCTTGACATTGCCAAAGGCTGTTATGGTGCTGTCAGGAGCCGGTCAGGGCAGTGATGGAAAGCCGGGCGCAGCCTCTTGGCAAGGCTCCTGCGAGAGACCGCTGAATGGCCACAGCCCTTCCTTCCTGCTGGGGTGATTCATCTTCTCTCTGTTCGGCAGTCGGGTGTGTTTTGATCGCGCTGACAATCCAGGTGATTGCTACCTGCGTCTCAGTACTCGGGTGCAAGTGGTCGGGCAGCGCTCACACCCACTGTTGCCGTGCGGTGTCTCTGCAGTGGCAGCTGTGGGTCCAAGGAGGAGGGAAGGTGGACGTGGGAGGGTGAGTTCACGCTTCGGTAAGGGGTGAGTTCACGCTTCAGTAAGAAAAGGTGGATAGTCACAAGTCACTGTAGTCTCTTCCTCTGCCCACCTTTTTGTTTTCAATTTGTTTCTACAAAGATGAGCTGAGAAGGATTCGGAGGAGGATGAAATAATAGCTGTGTGAATTTTCTTGCGAGTAAGAGAAAACATGTTGCAGAAGGCTGCCTTCTTTGATATAATTAGTCTCATGAAACATTAAAATGTAAATTTGAATGGGGGAGTTGTGTTGTTTTGAAGAAGAACAGGGCTAAAAATCGCATAGCCTGTCCATTAATCATCAGCTGTGTTGTTTTGCTGTACGAGGACTTACTAGTGTCTATACTACTGGCAATTCAGTGGTGACTTATGAGTTTTGTTATCCTTCACTCTGCAGGCAGTTACACACTCTTCACAGTAACTTGCAGGCTAGCTTATTAGTTTCTGACTCAGGTGGAACTGCATTATTCTGCTGTTAATGCACAATGTTTATACATAAAATACCATAATGCTCAAGCAGACTGTATCACTCTTCTTTAAAACTCCGGCTGAAAAGCAGTGTGCAGGGCTGTTTAGTTTATTTCACTGTTTCATCAGGGATAGCATGCATGACTTTCAAGACGCTATGGTCCTTGCAGAGGCAATTACAGATCCTGGGAGTACCTAGAAAGCGGTAGCATGGCACAGAATGGATTTTTAGAGTGAAAAAGTTGTCAGAATCACCGAAGACCAGAGTTGATTCCAAACATAACTAAAAATCTCCTATGTGAGTCTTGGTTCAAGCTAGTTAGGAGAACAGAACGGTGTGCTGAATGATCTCTTTGGAAGATTAGGTATTTATTGAAATATGCTTGTCACGGTTCCTCTGCTTTAAAATGGGGCTGTCGTTCTTTGTCTGGCATGTCATGCTAGATGATTACCTCCTTTCCAACAGCAGTATTTCTCTGTCTATTTTCAGCACACTAGGGGCTGCTGAGCAATATTTAAGGCTTCTGCGGTCCAATACTGAGTAGCTGCCTTGCCTGTGACTGCACTAAAGCTTGCTGACAGTAACATTGGAGGGATGGTGACATCTTTCTAAATTCAGGCTACATGTTTCGAGGTGCTCAGGGTAGTTCTGCAGCAGTGCAGAAGTTAAAGCAACAGACAGATTTAATTTCCATTTGTGGCAGATGGGGAAATATGGCTCGGCCTGGGCTGCATCCAGGGTGTCCAGCAGAGTGGGTGGGATGGGGCCTGGCTTTCACTCAGCCAGCTGCCATGATGACTGCGGTTGTCAAAGCATGTGCTAAGGACGTGTTTGGAATGGGTGGCTGTTTTCCTCCACCCTTTAAATTGCAGAGCCAGAGACACTGCTAGCAAAGCCAATTCATTGGTTTGTTCATTTGTTCATGGGAAAACTTTTACATCTGTCTTATTTAGTGGTAGACAAAACAAACAAGCATTACAAATGTCTGGTCAGCTCCTACCTCTAATCTTGTTATTTCATAAATAAGGAAATAGCAATTAAATTATGTTTTCAGGATTGGCACAACAACACTAACAGTTACAGCTGAGTTCCCACGTGAAGAATAAAATAGAAAGAGTTGTAAGGCGTGTGAATTACTGGGAAGAGGCAATCCATGTGGGGCAGCAAATCAGTCGCCTGGGAGGTAGAAATCTACCCCAGTCCAGGTTAAAGTACCACTTGGGGACCAGAGGTGTTTGTCAAAACCCAACTCTGGTTATCCCGTTGCGTGTTCTCAAATCCCGTGTATGTCTCAAATTGGACCCCTGTGCTGCTGACCGTTGTTTCTTGACCACTGTCTTCCTGCTGTTGAAACAGTGGAGTTTCTGGGAGGCCAAAGCCCTGATGCTGCTGTGCAGCTGAGGTACAAGTGCAGAAGGTGGGTGAGAGGTGGCCGAGGATGTACCTTCCCCCTTCAGTGTCCTGCTTACCAGCAGCGGTCCGTGGCCTCTCCACAGCCTGGAGCAGTCTCTTGGCAGTGGGGTTCCCTAGAAAAAGCTTTTACTCCTATTCCCTGCCTTCCTATGTCACCACTTCAAAAAGATGTTGGCTTTTTGACTAACACAAGAATTTGCTTTGCTTACGTAAAAAGGGAGAGTGGAAATCAAGAAATAAAGAACAGACTGACAAATGTGCCCATCCTAGAAATTGCTTTTATACTAAGGGACTGAAGGGGTTGCTTTTCTAGTTGCATGTTCTGTATGAAGTTTTAACGTGATACAATTTGTGCACGCAACATTAATTTTCAAGGTATGACTGAGATGGGTAAGCCAGATCAGGCATGTTTAAAAACAAAACTAAGGTTCAAGAAGTATATGAAAGAACTATATCATTTTGTGGCCTACATTGAATGTAAGCTCAGGGCGAATGTACTGGAAAAATGTGAGGAAGTAATGTCAATGGAGCACCAACCTCCATCATACTCCAAAATTATTCTGAAGCTTTTAGGGGCAGATGAGATAGGCTGAAATTCAAACCTATTTTAACATATTGTATTTCCCCCATTTTTAAGATTAAAAAAGATATTTTCTTTTTTTTTGTCAAACTTCTCCATGCTTTATCTCCATTACCTTGGCAGGAGCCTTTCACGAACGTGTTCCGCAGTTCTCTTTTTGGAGGTTTTATTCTTTGCTTCTGTAAGCAGCCTTCTGTAGACATTCCCATTCACTCTGCCCTTTCAGTCTGCAAGAAAATACAGTCATCTTTGTTCCTTCCAGCCAGTGTCCAGAGAAGCCCTAAAGTCTGTGGGGAAGGAGTTGCTCTTGTGTAACATTCCTTGTAGAGAGATTGCATCCACTGGTGATCGCTGTAAGCCTGACGTTGGGTTCTGAGAGCAAAACATGTGGACTTGTGTGTGTTGTTTGAGGTTCCTGCTCAGTAAGAAATCAGAAATTTAAAACATAATAAAAAGCAGAGAAAAATCGAGACGCTTTGGGTCACAGGCTTCTCTGAAGATTGTGTGGGGAAGGTCGCCTCGGCAGCTCTGCTGTTGACCACCACACTTTGTTCCAGTGTTAATGGGGTAATGTAAATTTATGTTATCAAAATCTGTGTTGGCAAAAAAGAGTTTCTCCAGGCACTGTTCTGATTTCTTCCCTCTCAGAGCTACCTCGTAAGAGGAATATGATAACAGCAAGAGATCTTTGGGATTTCTGCTGTATTTCAGGTTTCAGAGAGCTCTCTGAAAACGGAGAAGCAACGTCCACCATGAGGTACAGTTGCCTCATATAAGCCTTCGGGAATTGATTAACTATAATATTCTTAGCCAAGCATCTTCACAAAAATAGCCTTTATTCCAAGTTTGCCTTTTTCTGCACTGCTGTATCTGAACATAAAACATAAGGTCAGAAGTATCCTGAATTTCAGTTATAGTTGAGAATTGAGTAGTTCACAAAAATCAGAGCTAGACTATCACATTTTGAATTACCGCCTGCATTTGTATCTCTGGAAACAGAACTGAATCTCTGTGAAATAAAACTGAAATGAGTCCCTAGGCACGGTACTGCCCAGAGATGTGTGAAACTCTGGTGAATGCTTCAGAGAGGCACCTCCTAAGAAGAAATTTTGTGCCATCTTCTGGGAAGATCTCTCACAGCTCTTGGCAAGTTCAGTAGCTGTGACTGGGATCCCAAAGCCTGAGCTGGCACAGGAAAGCCGGTGGAGTTTGGCAGCAGATGATGTTTTTCTGCATCTGGAAAGCCATTCTGACGGAGTCGCTTGGTGTCATTTGTTGCAGGATGCTTGGCTCTGATGTGATTCCATTGCCCCATATTTACAGAGCGCGAATCAAAGGCGTTGAAGTGTTCTGCCCGCTGGACCCACCTCCTCCTTACGAAGCTGTGTGGAGCCAGAACAGCTCTGAGCAGGTAAGACCCAGAGGAGTTTAAGGTGTAACTTGTTTTTCTGCTTTAAAGGTAAGGTTGCACTGAGGCATGGTAAACCTAAGTCAGGTATGTTTTCATTTCAGAATAGCAGGAGAATATGTTTGGCTACAGGTGTGGCTTGCTGTAAATTTCCCTGAGGATTTTAATTAATCACTTACCTTTATAGTTGAAAAGTTTTCCCCAGTTGGAAAACTGTGTCTGACCATGGGAGAAGGAGCAAAACACGCCATGGAGCTCATCTGTTGCTGGTTATTCTAAAGGACCCGTGTGCTGCCTCCTTGATTTACTTCCCTTCCACACCTGCACTTCTCCCATGTGGGACTAGGTCAGGGTTTTCCCGTGCTCACTGACCCCTTTTCACTGGTGTTCTCAGAAGACAGGTGCTTTTTCCCAGAAAATACTTGGCAGGATAAACTGGCTGACCTGAGTGATGAACGTTAATGTTAGACATTCACTGGTCTTGGTTTTGCAGTGGAATTAAAACACATATCATGTAGTCACTGTGCGATTAAGCAAGTGTTCACTTTCTAAGGTGGATGTTTCAGTTCTTAGAAAGTACCAGAAGAAAAGATGGTGGCTTGTGATTTTTCAACTTTTCTATTTTATTGCAGGACGGTGCACTACAAATAAGTGTCGTGGAAGTTGTTGATTCGGGGGAAGTGACTGACAGGCAGGGGGAAGTGACTGACAGGCAGGCCTCTCAAGGTAAAAAGTACATTGTAAAATTTATTCTAGAACAGTTCTGCCCAACCCAGATGATGTAATGTAGCAGTAGCATTATTATTTCTTTGAAAGACAGCCACCATACTGCAAGCCAAAGATGCAGAATCATGATTGTTTCGGGTGGTGGAAACAGGGATTAATATTTAAAATACATAAAATGTTGTTTGCTCTTAAGATACTGAAAGAAAGAAGTATGTCCTTCTGCAGGTTAATTGTTGACTCTATGCCCATACGTTGCAACAAATGATGTCCAGCTCCAGTGCTTCCATTTGTTTTGTATACCTGATGGTGCCTGTTGACATTTTGTTTCTGAAGAAAATAGGAAAAGGATAAAATTATGCAGTACTGTGTTGAGCTAAATGTGGGAATTGCTCTATTACTCAGCCTGCACCAGAAGAATTACTAAACAGTTTCTGTGTACTGGTCCAAGACATAGCTAGACTGTATGTAGAGGCCACATCAAGCTTTGCTCAGCATTGTTTTAGAAAACCAAGGAAATGGTTTCAAGTTGTCTTCAGCCTAGTCTTTGTTGTGGTGCATGCTTGTGGTTAAACATTATTGGCTTCTAGATAAGTCACAGTCAGCTTTTTCAGTACAGCCTTAAAAATCCGCTCTACTTTTCTTTTGAACTTGCCATTATGGGGCAGATGGTCTTCTGTGCAGCAGATGCCTATGTGCCTATCTGCACAATGTTCACAACACAAGAATATGGAAAGTAAAGACACTTAGGGGTGGGTGGGGGAAAAAAAAGCCCCAGGTCTTTTATTTGACTGTGGCTTCTCTTCTGTCAGCCTGCTTCTCAAGCTATAGGAAAACTTTGGGGTGAAGTTTATCGGCTGAAGTTGTTTCTGCTAAGTGGTGGCAGGAAAAAAAAAGGTTTACATAAAACCATACTTAACGAAATAAGTCTTTTGAAGTTCCCTTAAATGTTGGCAGTCTACCTGAAACCTCTGAGACTAAGGTCCTGGATGCTTCTGGTATCTCATCAGTTTCATCAGTTGTGATAACCAGAAGGAAATTCAGAAGAGTTGTAGCAAAAGTTTAATGCTCAAGGACTTCTTTTTTATAAAAACTGCTGTTGTTTTCTCTGGGCACTTTAAGCACAATTGAAAATAGGATATCAGACATAGAGCTGCATGGTGACTGCTTGAAGTTATAAGGGTGCAAAACAGGAAAAAATACTATAGAAAAATCAACTGTTGTGAATGAGAGTCAGGAAAGTAAAAAAAAAAAAAGCTATGATGAGGCATTGTTTGAGGTATTGTTTGTATTAAAAAACATTTGGAAGCAGACAGACCAGGGCACATGTGATAAATTGTACCCTCTACCCCATCATTTTAACTGGTTTGTCCGTCCTTTTTTTTTTTAAATAAAAAGCCTGTAAATAGACATTTAAATCTCAGCCTGACTGTTACATTCAGATAAAGACGAAAGTGATCATCTTAATAAATTAGCACTGCTTCTTCTAGATGCCAAGGCTTCCTAGGGGCAATGAATTTAACAAAAGGAAATATGCTGAGTGGTATCTCTGCCTTCATTTATATATGGGGAGGTGTACTGGGTCTGGCTGGGATGTAGTTAATTTTCTTCATAGCAGCCCATATGGTGACCAAAACAGTGTTCATAACACACCAGTGTTTTAGCTCTTGCTGCACAGCGTGGAGGCTTGCTCCATCTGTGGCTCTGCCCCAAACAGCAAGGAGGCTGGGGATGCACAAGAAGTTGGGAGGGGATGGAGCTGGGACAGCTGACCCCAACTGACCAAAGGGGTGTCTCGTGACGTATAATGTTACAATCAACAGTAAAGACTTGGGGAATGTTTGCCAGGGCTGCCTTTGCTTAGGAACTGGCTGGGCATCTGTCAGCTGGTGGTGAATCGCCTGTTTTTGTTTGGTTTGTTTTCCTGTTTTTTCTTACCACCACCCTCTCCCCCAGCCCCCACCTGTCTTTATCTCAACCCGTGTGCTCTCTCACTTTTGCCCTTCCAGTTCTCCTCCTCATCCCACTGTGGGGGAGTGAGTGAGCGGCTGTGTGGGGTTAAACCGCAGCAGGAGGGAAATACAGAGTGAGGGGATATGCTAGAATTGTGGCGGAGTAACTCCATGGGCTGTCTCAGCCGATGTAGCGTAACAGTCTATAAATAAAAGCTGAACTTCTGGTTTATGCCAGTAGTCTGTCGTGCCAGGGCATTTGTGTATGATGCCGTGACTCCTGTGGCATCGTCAGCAGTGAGGGACTGAGCGTGGCTCCCTACGGAAGTTAAAGCTATGCACTACTGTCTGCCAGCAGAACTGGGGAATTCCTGGCTGCCGGCTGCAGGAGGCTCCGTAAGCTTCTCTGTGTCAGCTAAAATGGTTTTTCTGACTTCAAGAGCACTCCTGTCAAGCAAAATAGGACTTTCTCTACCAACTGTAGTAGGAAGATGTGCAGCCTTCTGCTGATGGCTGGGGGGTGATTGGCAGCTGCTCTCTACCATCACACACTAGGTATATGCAGTTCCAGTACACACCAGCTTGAGCTAGTTATCTCTCTGAGATCTGAAGCATTAGTACTATGAGGAATTATTACAAGATCATGAAATTGGTTCATTCGTCTATTTCGTAATTAAAAAACCCCAACTGCTCCTGAGTAGCAGCAGCACTATACCTCAAGGACGGACTGCGACTACAACTCCACTGGTGTTAATGAGTTTATATTGGTGATGGGTTCGTTAATCCTGCCCGAATATTGGTGCGCCATGCTTTGTTGCTGGGTCCCACCTCCTGGATTTCCAGGCTAGTGTCTGCTTTGTATAGGTTGTGTCACTGTTTCTTCTCTTTAGAGATTCTAGGTTGCATGTGTGTAGGAGATAAGCTATGCTCAACAAGTATGTATCATCTGGGCCTTAATTTTCTCAAATGCTCCAGTCCTTGGCACACTTCTGTTTGAGTACAGCGCAAACATTTGCCATGTTCTGAATAAAAGACTGTTGACATTAATTTGTGTTTTTTACATGAGCAAGAACATTGTTTTCTGTAATATGCCAGGTGCCATTGGGTGGAGGTACAGAACCAGGCTTGGGGAGAAATATATAGATTCATCCTATCCTGTTCACTAAAAGGCAGTTGGGGAATCACAGCATATGATGTCACCTTAAGGAAAAGGAGGAATGTTGATTAGTTGGAAAGATGAAATATATCACAAGAATTCAGGAAAATCTTTATTTTAACAAAGAACCTCATGGAACAAGGTTTTTAGGATTGGTGACTGATTTACGAGCTACCTAACTGCAAACTGTGACTGACCTCTGTGACCGTATGCTGTCGTATCTCGGTAGAACTGCTTATATGCAGGAAGATTTCAAGCTCAGTGAGATTTACTTTTCTCTCCAAGAAAGCTGTAGGTCTCTTCTGTCTGATCAAGTAGTTCAAGGTGGTGTTTATGCTAGCCAAAGCTGGTGTGTGGGCATGTGCACACATACAGGCACCTCTAGGCTTTTGTGTCCAATCACTATGGGTTTGCAGGGAGGGATGCAAAAAAAATATAAAATTGTAATAATCTTTAATAACGGCTTCTACAGATCTGCTTTATTCTGACTACTTTTCCTTCACCTTCACTCTGCCTGATCACTCAGGTGAAGAAATTCCTGAGTCTTCCAGCAGAGTGAGCCTTTCACCTTCAAGTGCCAGCCCGGTGCCTGCAGAAGGAGCAGGCAGGAGAGCCTTCAATCTCTTGCAGAAACGATCTAAAAGTGACCCTGTGCTCCACTGCCGATTGCTTCAAGGTGACTTGATTTTCTCTGTCAGTGCTTGTGTAGTGAGTCCTTAAAAGAACGTTTAGTCAGAAGGTTAGTACCTGTGTCCTGGGTTCGGCCAGGACAGGGTTAATTTTCACCAGAATCCAGGAAGGGACACAGCCGGGGGGGCTGACCCCACCTGGCCAAACAGAGCCGGGTATTCCATACCATGTGCCGTCACGCTGGGTTCTGGGGGGGGGCGGGGACGACAACAGG